TGGAGGAGGATGAGGAGGAGATTGCGCAGGAGATGAAGGAGCTTGGGCTGGAGGGGAGCGAAGAGGAGGAGGGTGTAGAGGAGAGGGTGAGCAAGAAGAGGGGGAAGAAGCAGGCGCAGCAGAAGAGGCAGGAGAGTCCGACGGCGAAGACGGGTAAGCTCCGGCCTGCGTCGGACGTGCTTTCGCGAATCAGGTGGGATCCGTCGATAGATGCAGCAGATTATGTGGTTGGTTATGAGGATAGGTTTATTGGGATTATTGAGAAGCCTTTGGTGGCATGGACGAATGAGCAGACGGATGAGGAGTTTATTCCTCAGCATCGGATTGTGTACTTCAGAAGGAGCAGCGATGGGAAGAAGGTGTGGGATAGGAGGGAGAGGATTGATGAAATTTTTGGAGCAAAGTAGGGAATTTTGGGATGAGATATTTGATTTTGGTATCATGATGGTTGTTCTGGCATTTTGGGTATCTGGATTTATCCATAACATTACACTGATGACTACTTTATCCCTTTAGCTTCTGCATTCGTTTTGTCTCGTACACTCCGTTTCAGTGCTTCTCGCCCACTTCTTCGCGTCTCTGCTCTTCCAACTTCCACTCCATCTCCCACCGACTTGGCGCCTCCGATATCCCTCTACGTGAACCGCCTCCCCTCTTGTACGCTCGAACAACCTCTTCCACAGTCCGTCTTCCCAGCCCCTTCACCTTATCCTCCTCCACTCCCTCCTCCCAATCCTCGCCTAACGGAACAGGTGGTTCCTTGCCCAACAACGCCCACAACATCCTTTCTTCTCTCTGTGACGCAATCATGTCGAGCTTATCGGCATGCGCCTCGTGTCGGAGTTCAGCCCGCAGGCGCTTGCGCAGGGCATCACGCGCCCGGCGGGAACTGGGCAGTTCCAGGGCGGAGTGGTGCAGGAGTTCGAGTAGCTCACGGTCGATGGTGGCTTTTTCATTTTCATCTTCAGGATCTGAGGGTGTTTCTTCTTTGGCAAAGGTTGCAGAGGGAGGGCGGGAGGGGGCCTCGGCGAGGTCGATGGAGGTGTTGGATGCTGGGGAGGAGGGTTCGTCTTTTAGGTTAGGGAGGTCCTCTTCTTCCGATCCTTCATCTTCAGAGGAGGACATGTCTTCGTCTTCATAACGGGGTATCACTTCTGGCTCAACACCCAACGCCCTCTCGACTTCAGCAAAATCCATCACCTTTTCTTCATCCCCTTCCCCTTGATCGACCACATCAATCCTCAACCTCCTCGCGCACGTCGCCCAAAACCTCCTCCACTTATCCGCCCTTGTCCTCAACCCCAACGACAAGACAGCGGCCTCGACGTCCTTCGGCTTCACCCACGCCCTCGTCCTCGGATGTATCCTCTTCTTAATCCGTATCCTCGATTCGGCCACATACAATGCCGCCGCAACAACTCTCCTGACAAGTGACACAACAATCGCGTGAAAATCCTGCACCGCGGTCGCCCGGATCGCAGGCTTCCTCGGCTCGCCGTCCTCAGTGGGAACAAACACCCAATTATAGTCCTCCACGGTAGAGTTCATAAATATCCTCTCGCTGAGCCGCAACCAATTTCTCAACCTAAACACCTCCGCCGCCTCTCTAAGCCGCCCATCCCTTTCCACCAAGTCTAAGTTCCCCTCCGTCACAAGCCACACCCCGCTTCCCCACTTCTTCTTTTCGACACCCTCCTCATAAGTCTCTTGCCTCGCGGCCACAGCATCAGCGGCCTCCTCCAGCGCGGCACAACACGCTTGGGTTAGTTCCACCGCGGCGGGGACTTCTTCCGGCAAAACAACCACGTCATCCCTCTTCCACTTATCACGTTCTTCTTGCAGCAGGCGGATGTACTCCATCACTTCTAGTTCCCCCTTCGTGCGTACCCGCTCTGCGATCCCCTTCGCGTTTTGTGGTCCTAATCTGGCAAGTGCCTCGAAGAAGAGTGTTTTCTCGGTATCCGTCCAGTAGATTAGCCCAATCTGGGAGGGCTGTAAAGGAGTGTCCCAGTCGTGCTGCGGAGTGAAATGCTCTGCGGCAGAGAGGATCTCGTCGTTGAGCAGGGCGAGGTAGGACGGGTTGTAACTTGTGGGGGGGTGGCGGAGGCGTTTTGGGGGGGGTTGTTCTGACCCCTCCTCTTTCTCTTCCTCTACACCTACCATCTCAGGACCGTGGCTGTCGTAATCGGAGGCGCCTCCTGGAGAGGAGGATGCTGAACTCCCTCCACGAGCCCGGGGGCGTTTGAGTGGCGAGCTGAGAAGGGGAAGGGGTTGTGACGGAGTTGGGGGGATGATGCTGTGTGGAGGATGACGGTGGGGGGTTGAGGCGAAGGCGGGGAATGCTTTGTGGGTTTGTTGGGGTTGGTGGGCATGCGAGGAGTTAGAGGAGATAGAGGAGATAGAGGGGCTGTAGAGGCTGTTGAGGGAGGAGGTCGACAAATAAGAAGCTCGGCGGGGCTGGGAAGAGGTGGTGAGGTTAAGATTTTGGTGTGCTAGAGGATATTGGTGGTTGTCATTTTTGCTTTGGTTAAGTTCATGTTGTTGGTGCTCGTATTCTTCGTTGTCTGATCCCTTACCCTCCTCCCCCTCATCCTCGACATCTCCTTGCTCGGGATCACTTTCGGGGACTTCGTCGGATGGAGCCCTTTGTGGCAGCGGTCGAGTTGAATACAGTCTTATGGGGATTGACCTTGAGCTTCTTGTCGTTCGGGCTGAGCTCTGGTCGCCATGACTGCTTTCATCAACATCCATCTTTCACAATGCGATGAAAAATTTGGGTTTATTGGAGGGTTGGAATGACAGAGTTCCGGTGAAAATTTGCAGCGTCAGCTTAACTGCACCAAAAATGGTAAGTTGTTAATCAAGAAAAACCTCTATATCTGGTAATAATTCATTTCAGCCTCAAATTTGAGACTTGCAATGAAAAACAAGTGCCCAGGATTGAGTTTGCGAATGTCGGATGAGAATGAAATGGGTATCATGAGCGCAGGTCAAAGTAAACTCACCTTGCGCCTGTTTGTTGCCACAGTCCTTCACAGTGCTCACATAATCTCTTAACTGTTTAAATGAGCCAATCACATCCCTTACAAGGAATCCTGTCCTTCCCGAATATCTTGGCAGGGGCCCATTTTCGATGCTTTGTTCGCCCTGTATCAATTGGAAACCAAGAGCATCACTCTCATCCCTCATTCTTCATCCTCAACCCCCGCCATGTCTTATATATAGGAAACTCAGCCAAAAAAAAAAAATGCGGCTCTTCTTCCCGGCGGGATTGAGGCCTAAAAGGGCTCTCATAATACCTAGACTGTTTTGGGGACTCTCAGCACAAAAACAACGATTTTCAACGTCAGCGGGGCATTGGGCACGAAGGAAAAAGGCTGCTCCTCTCTCACCCGACTTGGCTCAACAGCCTGCTGCTCCCCGACCAGTCCAATTGAGAGATTATCAGGAGGAATGCATCCAGAGTGTAGTAACCAGTTTAGAAAAAGGACACAAACGAGTGGGCATCTCATTAGCCACGGGCGCAGGCAAAACCGTAACTAACCCTTCTCTTCTTTACCCCCCCCCCTTCTTCCCCATCATTTCACCCTCCCCCTCTCTCACTCACAATCAAAGTGACTAACAAGATTTCGAGGTAATCTTCACCCACTTAATATCCCGTATCCCCCCTCGCACCCCAACCGCAACGCAAACCCTCATCCTAGCCCACCGCCGCGAGCTGGTTGAGCAAGCCGCCCGCCACTGCGCCGCTGCCTACCCCAACCAAACCATCGAGTTGGAACTTGGCAAGCTCCACGCGTCCGGCCGCGCAGATATCACCGTCGCCAGCCTGCAGAGCATTCTATCCAAAGACCGCTTTAAAAAATTCGACCCCGAGCGTATCAAGCTCGTGCTAGTCGACGAAGCGCACCACATCGTCGCCCCAGGATACCTGAAAGTCTTAGAGCACTTAGGGCTGCGACACAAACAGGACGATTCCCCCCACCTCGTCGGGGTATCCGCCACGTTCAGCCGGTTTGACGGGTTACGGTTAGGCGCGGTCATCGACGAGATTGTCTACCACAAAGACTACGTCGACATGATCGGGGAGAAGTGGCTCAGCGACGTGGTGTTCACCACCGTGGAATCGAAAGCCGACCTGTCGAAGGTCAAGCGCCGTGGGAAGGGCGGTAGCGGGGAGTTCGACACGGAATCGTTATCCCGGGCGGTTAACACCGTCGAGCTAAACGATATCGTCGTGCGCGCGTGGATGGCGAAGGCTCAGAGCCAGGGTCGCAAATCGACGCTAGTATTCTGCGTGGACCTGAACCATGTTGTGTCGCTCACGCAACGGTTCCGGTATTACGGGATTGACGCGCGGTTTGTGACAGGCGACACGCCGAATCGGGAGCGGGCAGAGAGGCTGGATGCGTTTAAGAACGGGGAATTTCCCGTGCTGGTGAACTGCGGTGTTTTCACGGAGGGGACGGATATTCCGAATATTGATTGTATTGTGTTGGCACGTCCGACGAGGTCGAGGAATCTGTTGATTCAGATGATTGGACGAGGGATGAGGCTGCATGATGGGAAGAAGAATTGTCATATTATTGACATGGTTTCGGGGTTGGAAACGGGTATCGTTACGACTCCGACGCTGTTTGGTTTGGATCCGGATGAGATTGTTGAGGAGGCGACGGCAAGCAAGATGTACGAGCTGCGGGACCGACGACAGGCAGAGAAGGCGCGCGAGGCCGCACTGCAAGCACAGCAGAAGGTGCCTCTCCCATCCGGACGGTCCTACGACGTCACATTCACTGAGTACGACTCCATATTCGACTTGATCGCTGACACCTCGGGCGAGCAACACATCCGCTCCATCAGCCCACACAGCTGGGTGCAGGTCTCGCCACACAAATTCATCCTCAGCGGCCCTGGAGGGACATACATCCGCCTAGAAAGACTTGAAGAAGCAGAAGAGTCCTCAAAAAAGAATCACTCCGAACCCGCCGAACCCAAGATCGTCTACAAAGCCTATGAAGTCCGCGCCCTTCCTCCCGGCGTAGCAAAGTCCCCCTACGCCACCCCTCGTCACATCCTCACCGCAGAGACATTCCCCGACGCCGTCCACGGTGCTGACAACTACGCGAGCCACCACTACCCCTACATTGCCATCGCCACGAAAGCGTCGTGGCGCTCGCAGCCCGCGTCACAGGCGCAGCTCGACTTCCTCAACAAGTTTCGCCCGGCTAACGACAAGCTCGGGCCCGAAGACGTGAGCAAAGGCCGGGCGACGGATATGATCACCAAGATTAGGCATGGCGCGAAGGGGCAATTTGCAAAGATAGAGGCGCTCAAGAAGAAGAAGCAAAAGAATATGCTCGCCGAGGAGATGTACCGCCAGAGAAGGATGCAGGAGATGGTGAGGGTTGGGCCACTGCCCTCGTGAGTATCTGTCCACATGCAAATTTTTGGGCTTCTTAAAGTGACATTTGGCGCTTTTCGCGCCCTACAGGATGAAGGAGCCCGCCGGGCTGAAGAACATATTGATGTCCCTTCGAAAGCAACAAGGAGCTACTGCTGGTTTCAGAACAAAAGAAGAAACTATCTATTAACTGGTTATAGAGCTCGAGAGAACATTATCGGCGTCATAGCCTTGATGCAGCGCTCTGGCCCAGTGCTGGCAGAGCTGTGCACCATACCCCTCGTCAGTCACTCACTCACATACAGACATGCTAAGGTAGGACGAAGCAATGCACTTCGTTGCTTTAGCCAAGTCGTTCCAAAGCACTTATCACTCATGTCTTGCAGTCAGCACCTAGCCTGAAGCACGTCCAGTACCACGGGACAATGTTTTCAGGCTAAGAACTAATTTCTCGGGCTTAAATTTTTTTGGCTCCTGGAGAACAGCAGCATCAGAGATATTAGCAATGCCGAGCTACGCAGAACTCAGCTGAAGCCGGTCCCTAGGTAGTTTTATGGTTGTGCTCTTCATTATTATCTGCACGCAAGAGACTCTCTCTTACCACGCCATTATTGACTGCTCTCGGTGTCGTATCTGGCCCGGTGACATCATTGGGGACTCTCGAAGGACGTTTGGGGTTTCATTCTCGTGAGTTGTGCCAGGTAGGCTTTCTTGGAGCAAGTTTTTTTTTTTTAACTTGGGACTGTATGTTAGGATTTCAGGGCTGGAGAGCTAGAAGGAAAGGTTATTTTCACGAGGTTGAAGGCTCCATGATCCTGAACAAAAAACGTGTACGGTGTATCAACAATGAGCGAACACGAGCAAGATACTTCAGTGAAAGACTAATGGAAGAAGCTCATTGCTGCCATCAGGGAGGGTTCCTCGTCACGAATGGGTGCACGATTCGCCCCTCCCACACGATTATCAATACAGGACGTCATAGCCAGGACAGTCAACAGTCAGGCACGAACCCACAACTTTTATCCTACAGGCAATGAGCCCAGCAGCAGCAGCAGCAGCAGTAGCAGCAACATAACGGGACTATCCACAAAAACATCGCGACTTCTTCGTCAACTATTTTTTTGACCACTTTTGACCACGTGCCCTTCTAGGAAACTTTCTCTCCAAGAAGGAAGGTGCTATCTCTGGGTCTCTCAGCAACGTGGCCAACAGCAGCGGTCTCGTATGGGCATGGGAATCATCTCCACAGCTGATAGTTAATCCCAAGCACAGAAAGAGAGCAAAGTATGCTTAAGGTTGGCTCTCCAGGGGATCGGAGCTCGTGGACAGGACATGAAGTTCAAAAGCTCCCCATCCGCCCAATGCTACTGCACGGTTGTGTAATGTCGCTGCTCCGCCCGCTATGAGAGCAAAAGATGAGTTTGTCAAGTTTGAACAAGCTGTATAGGCCATGATCAAGCCCTCCTCTGCCGTTCCCTCGGGGGATAAGCGTCACGACCCAAGTCCCTGAATTGCACTATAACAGGTATCTACTTTCCTTAGGTATCTTTGTAAACAAAAAATCTGCTCCTCACGCCTCACAGACATTGAGCACGTGCCTGACTTAGGCAGTCGCATCCACGCTACTCTGTAAAAACACCGTGCTGCCCCAGTGCTCTGAGCGTGTAAGTCGCGACCCTCTTCACACCTTCCATTTGTGCCTGCCTTCCCTTTCTCCACTGCCTCCCTGGCTCCACACCCTGTTTACATCGCCAACATAGTTGTCTTCTTCTTCACAAGGACATTGCCAGCTGGCTGGTTTTCTTCTGGTGGCTGGTTTGCGCCTTTTCGCCTACACAAGGTGACTGCAATGTAGGTGTTTGTGCATTTCCATCGGTCTCAAGTTTGCTTGCCAATTGCCTTGAGATCGTAGGGGGAGGAGTGCGAGTCGGTCCCGGACACGACGACAGTAAGCTTGAATATCATTCATGGCTTTGACACGAGGAGCACGGTCGCCTTGTGTAAATCTCCTACTCCTGTCGAGTCCTTTAGCCTGATCCCATCTTTTTTTCCCGCTTTTCTCGAGGTGTAAAGCGTCTCAGAACGGTCCTCATCCTCCTATTTTCATCTCAGGACACTACTTCGACTTTATCTGATCCATTGAGCATCACTTCTGATTTCTCCTTCATCTGGTCAATTTGCTTGAGCTCACTAACATGCATCTTACAGTCAGTTGCAAGCTCACCGTGTTGCGTTCCGGCCTCTTCCCCTCCTCCCAGTCTTTCTCGTGAGTTTTCTCCTTACTACTTTGTGACCCGGCGTATGGATCAATAGATCCGAATTCACTAACAGCCCGCTCCAATGATCACCAGAGCTGCCCAGGTATTCTCTCTGCATCCGCTGTTGCCATTCTCTCCCATCGCCTGGGGCCTGTGCTCCGCCCCCGGCGTTTTTTTTTTTTTTTCAAATTTCACACGCCCGGCTGCGTCCGTTCCTGGCTCCCACTCGCAGCCTTGCAATGTTCTCCCTGCTGTTTGGTCGCCCCTGGGGCCAACAACAGTCACAGCCCGAAGAGGCTGCCCAAGCCATGCCCGTCCATAGTTCCCTCGCAGGCTCCGCAGCGCCCGAGACGCACTCAAACGTCTCGACTCAGGCGTCTTCCGCTGTTGCCGGAGGCAACTCCGGCTACTCGGTTGACGCCTGCACAACCACCATCACGTCGCCGGGATCTGGTTCCGTGAACGTAGGAAAGCCGAAGCCGAGGGATGCCTGGCGTCCCGAAGCTCAAGAGCCGACTCACCCCGCCGGCGCCCTGTTCACCCAAGCTCTACCAATCGCCGGAGCAGAGAAGAAGCTGGCTACCGAACCCGACATCCCCCGCTCGGCCCCCATCGATATTCCTCTGGCGGGATCCCGAGACCACCCCCGGCTGTGGCACCAGCAGGCTATGCGCGGTGCCTTCTCTGATGATATCCCTCGCCCGCCGCGCCGAGTTCATCCCCAAGGAGGCGTCCGCGTCGTCCTTCCTCGTCTGGGCACCAACCAGCCTAGCAATCTGTCTGCCCCGACTTCGGTCGTCGAGGAGGGTCAGTTCAACCAGGCCAGCCCTGCCAACGAAATCCAGCCTCTGTGCATCGATGACTTGCCCGAGGCTGTCATCAATGGCGAGGAAGAGGATAAAGAAAACCACCAATACGAGACGGTCGATCTTCCCGATGGCAGAACCCACGTTGTTGGTGGTCTTGTTGAGGAGACGTACGAGCAACAGACAATTCTGTTTGCTCAGCAGCTGCCGGCCAACCACCCAGAGGCCCAACCTGGCTTTGGCATGAGCTCGGCCCGCCATCCCTTTTTCATATGGCCACCCCCCGACCTTCACGAGTCAAACAAGGAGCTGGACCGAGAACTGGCTAAGTACGCGCCAGTTCTCAAGCCGTTCGACCCGAACTTCCTCGAAAAGTATGTCGATGGCTACACGAAGGAGACCCGAGCCTTTTGCCAGGCCATGAACGAGTCGAACCTCGAGATCGTGGTCCAGCACCAGCAGGTGAAGGCTCTGGAGCAGAGGTGCGACATGATGGAGAAGCATCGGACAGACCTCGTGGCTCTACGCTGCCGTCCTCAGAACCAACGGCTCTTCCACTTCTTTGGTCAGCGTATCAGGGAGACGGACTACGAGATTCAAGCAGTCAAGAAGGAGCTGGAGAAACGACGCCGCGCCCTCAAACAGACCATTGCTTACGCGGGCGAATTGGTCGCGAATGCGGGCCGCTGGGATTTTGACCTCCCCAATGCCATCGACGAGCACCGGTTCCGCGAGATCAAAGAGGCCGAGGAAAAAGAGCGCATCGGTGCCGAGATCGAACAGGGCATGCTGACGGGCGTCTATGGCCCACTGAAGGAACAACCGAAGAGGACCCAAGACGCCGTCAAGGACTTTACCAAGCGGTTTTTCGACGAGCGCGAGAAAAAGAAGCCGAGGGAGAAGACTCCCAACTGGAGGCAGCAGAACTTGCCGGTCAACACCCCCAGCTTGCTGACCGCCCTGTTTGCCCAGGAGAAGGCACAGCAGTCTTAGGAGAACTCTGCCCAGCTGCAGGGTAACCAGAGCGTTCAGCAAGCTCAGCAGCAAACTTCTTTCGCTGCCCATGCCGCCCATTCTGGCCAGAAGCACCACAGACGTCCTGTTAATGTCCAGGTTGTCCAGTCTCAGAGCCAGCAGACCACTAGAGTTGCTCCTCACCATCAGAACCACGCTCCGCAGCCTGCTACTAATCAACATGGCTCTTACCCGCGTGTGCGGCAGTTGGCTCAGCATCAACATGCCGGCCAGCAAATACAGCAACCTATTCAGCATTCTCCACATTGCTCACGCCAGGTCCAACACTGGCACCCTGCTCATCAGCGTTCATTCCCCTATCCTGCTGGCCAGCGCATTCCTCGGCCTCCCCCGAATCCTCCTCGACCTTGCCAACAGGCCGGTCAGGAAGGCCAGCAATACACCCAACTTTCTCAGAACTATCAGACTGTCGGCCAGCAAGCCCGGCTCGCTCAGCAACTTCCCCAAGATTACGAAAATCCTCCCCATCACAACCAGCATGTTGGCCAGCAAGCCCATTTGCCGGCCCAACAGCTTCTTCATCAAGACTTTAGTCCACAACCTCGTCAACCTACCCAACAGTATATCCAACCTCCTTCTCACCTTCATGCTGGCCAGCAAGCCCATCAACCTGTCCAACCTGCTCAGCACCATCGAGCTAGCCAGAATGCCACTCAGACCACGAACCAGTCTACAAACCAATCGACGGCTCATAACCCCCAGCAGGGCACCCAGCCGTTTGCTAAACCCGGACCCCTAAACCTTTTCCGCAATCATCCTTTCAGAAAAGAATTCTTTGAAAGCATCGAACGGATTCCCGAATGGTTCGACATCCTCGAGACTAAGGGCACCATCTGTCTTGAGCTCCGGTCCCCGGACCGGCTCGAGCGTTACATGGAACTCCTCTTGATCTTGAGCAATCTCCCTGATCTTGCCTACGAACAGAGGTTGTTACGCTCCCAAACAGTCAGGCCGTGGACAAAAGAGTGGCACGACCCCGACGAGGGCTGGCCTACAGCTCTGCAGCGCAAGAATGGTGGCTGGTGGCGCTGTCGCGATGGTCCCGACGCGACTCTACCTGAGCTTATGTGCGGTGTGTGTCGTGGACTGCGTCGTTCTCCATATTATGAAGATTGGGTCCAGATCCATGACGATCTGGAGAGAGATAGGACCGAACAGTTGACACTCTACCTTTCTGAAATTAGGAAGGCCCAGGCTGAGGCCCACAAGAAGGAGGCATTGAAGTTTAAATGGCGCATGCAGTATGAGGACCAGATGCGCAAGGAGCAACAGCGACAGGCAGTGTTGAGTCGATATGTCCGGAACCAGATGTTGGGCGACCCAGGTGTCAACTGGCTGAATCACACTCCCCGAGCTGGTCGTGGAGTGCTGGGAAAGGAGTCGCTTAAGACGAGGGCTCAGCTGTTGCGCGAAATGAGGGCTGCTTGGTACGCTATGGCTCGAGGAGACCCTTCATCAATGATTTTCCGCAAAATTTGTTCGATCGCGTCGCAGTCTTCGGCTCATGCTCGGGCTAGATCTCTTCAGGAGCGGCTTTATCCCGAGACTAAGTCTCCTATCCTTGCTGCCGGTAAACAGCAGGCACTGCAGCAGTTCCAGATTTGCTTCTTGTCTCAGACAAATTCTTTTCTGAAGAAACGATCGTCTGGCGAGCAGAACACTAAGCGTCAGTCTCAGGCCCAGACTTCGGAGACGGGCCTTTTTCAAATTCAGCACCATGAAGATGTGCAGGCCGAGTCTTCCGCAATGGCTGAAACTAGAGCCAGAATGAAGGCGAAGTGGTCGTTCCAAGTCCACAAGGACGATGACGAACCCGTTCAAGACAACCCAGCGATTATTCCTTACAATTTCCCTGAAGCTGACGAAGCTCCGAATGCATCGCCCGAGAAGGACAAGGACAAGGCTTCTATCCGCGCGCAGTTTGACTCTCAAAAGCAGTCCAAGACTCGCGTTGAGCTCCCCAAGAAGGCTAAGACAGATAATCGAGTCAGATTTGCTGAGCCAGAGGTGTCGAATACTCATGTATTCACTTCACTACCGCTAGTCGAGCCTGAGGAGGAGCAGACGCCGACGCATTCTTCGGATCATCGTAGCCTGGAACTTGAAAGGATCCCTCCTCGTCCGATCCTCAAACCGGGAGGTTTCAAGGGCAAAGGGAAGGCCAAGTCTGTCACATGGGCACTTCCTTGACCAGAGTCGTCCAGTCGACGAGTCGAATTACCTTCTCACGACTACACTTTGCTGCTTTTCCTGGCAGTTCCGATTCGACTCGATCTAATGACTATGATGTTGACATGGACGATGGGGCTCTTGAGTCAGTAAGTTGAATTATCTTCCGAGACCTTACCTTTCACACTTACCTCGACCTTTTCGACTCGATTTGGCCTCATAATCACCTTCACTGCGGCGACCCCGTCGCGGCTCCAACATTTGGCCCACATGACCGGAAAAAAACTAACCCTCAACGTCTATCATTGGCGTCGAATACCTTTTTATCTCGTCATCCAACATCTCTCTCTTCCCCTTCTCGGGCCAACTTGAACCTACAACCTTCTTGACTAAGTAACATCGTCACTCTTACATAATCTTGCTTTGATGCAGAGAGGAATCTGGCCACCCTTAACGTATCGTACCTGTCTCGGACTCGAACCCTTTACTTTTTCTTATGAGCGACTGGTATACAGTCTCCTTTTTCCAGTCACCGCAACTTGACGACCTCACTTTCAGATCTGTGTTACTACCTTTACATTTCACATGGACACAAATTAAAAAAAGGGGGAGGGAGAAACTAATCCTCCTCAGCGTCTTACATTGGCCATGAAACCTTAACTTTTACACTTTTCCGCCATCGACTGCTTCAACAGTTCTCGGTCACCGATTTCATGACCTTCAGATCTGTGTTTACTACCTATAGACTTTTTCGGCCGTGCAATCTTATGATGGGAGTCCTTTGAACTGTTCATAGCTCATGATCTTCTCCATGACTCTTATACCCCCCCCCCTAGATACCCCCGTCTTTTGATAATTGCGTCTTTTCATGCATTCACAGCACTCAAATTGGTGCAACATTACAACATTTAGTACATCTCTTGCCTGGTGATGGTCGCCCAGGTTGATGGGGCTTTCTGATCTTCATGCTTTCATTTCTTTTCTTTGATGATTACGGATCCGTATATAATGATAATATCCGAACTGGGTGTGATAACTCAGCATTCAGGCCATCATAATTTATTAAAACCGGAATGAGGATCGGCAGACTAGTGGTTCGAGCACTGAAACACACTGACCGGGTGCGGCTCTTCAACAACGTTGTGTATTACGAGAACGAAGCGCACGGTCCTCTAAGTCTATTTTCTTCTCAGAAGCCCTTCGGCTTCAGTCATCCTCTCAGGTCTTTCCCCTTTCTTCTCTTTGAGAGCAAGGATGAAGAGTTTGCGGTCTAATCCACGGCGGGGAGCGATGGCATGATGAACAGTGATTTAGAAGGGTTTTTTTTATGTGCTTGGGCTTGGTATTGAAAGACAGAAAGTTATGGAATCCTAGAAGGATCTGGGTTTCTCCCTACCTTGCTTAGCTAATGAGTGATCAGTTGATGATATATCCGAGGAAAGCAAAGAGATTTAAGTCGATCATGACATAAGATTATAGGATTTCGGGAGGATGATGATCATGACTTTAGCTACTCAGCCAGGTATAGTGTTTTCCACGGGACTTAATGATACCAATCTAATGGCTTAAGGCATCGGTGTCTTCACTTCGTGTGCGATGATATTGACTGAGAGATGAAATGAAAGCTACCTAATCTAGGGATTGGAACAGCTATGATGATACAGATTATTACCTTGGGCACCATGATCACATTGAGAATCGCCTGGCAGTGTTATTGTGCTTTGCAGCGAAATAACGAGGAACTGAGCATAAGATCCTTGCATGAAACCAAGATATAATCAGAAACGACAGTAGGGCTATTTAGATTGCTCAAAATGCGCTGAGACATCTTTCTAAGCCAGACTAAGACAGTGGTGTCCGTTTCCGCACTTGATCAAGTTCCAGGCCTTTGAATAAATATACTTGAATATTTCGAAACATAGAAGAGCAGCAAAACCTCACATGAAAGGAGAGGTACGCGTCTGGAAAAGACGGTAAGCATCTTCCCTTACTTCGACCCCCCTTATTTGCCCCTTCCCTTGATCAGGTTGAGGCGGTCGACACTTTTTCCTGCTTTCTTCTTCTCCGCCCCCTTTTCACCAAACAAACAAAGGTAATAAGAGAGAGGCGGTAGACGCCTCTCTATCTTTGTTTAGATTTTATCCAGTCCCATTTTGAAGTCATTAGATGGATGGTTGTGCGTGTGGAGGGTGGGTAAGTGTAAAAAAAAAAGGGCCGGGAAGTCTCTAAATTACAAACAAACAATAGGCTTAAACAAATATGACGGCCTTTTTTTTTAAAAAAAGAGATGTGAACAAAGTGAATTCAAATGAGGTTAAGTCGACCCGAGCTTTGAACTGGGTGTTGCTTCTCCAGGTCGGTTGGCTGCATCCGAGTTGGTCGTATTCCGGATGCTGTTTTGTCGATGCTTGACTGAGAGCTGGCAGCTGCCTTTCACTAGGGTCAAAGAATGTTATCCGAGTCGAAGGGGAAGAAAAAGTAAAATAAATAAATAAATAAATAAATAAATAAATAAATAAGTAAATAAATAAATAAATAGTAAGAAAAAACCGCATAAAAAGAACAAAAGAATATCCGATCGCAACAAATGTGTGTCCGCCCAACCGACCACTAGAGGCCCACAACCTCCCTCAAATACGACAATGGTATGATAAACTACCAAGTATTCCCTTTCACTTTTTGTCTCCCAACCCCGGAAGTACCCATGTATCCAACTCTTCCATTATATCCAATCACCAAGCCAACTCAATTACCATCTTCCAAACGCCGTTCTCTAATCACCCCTCCTCTTCATCCCCGACCCTTCCCACTCCCCCCACCCCGAACTCGACCCGATCTCCTTCCCCGGCTCCAACAACGTCCATCCTCTCTCCACCGTCGCCGATGCCAGAGGCGTCTCGCTCCCTACGCTGGCGCCCGCAGCCTCCATGTCCTCGTGCAGGCCCTTCTTCCCCCCATCAGGATCGCAGTCGCAGCATTGCTTGGCGAGCACCTTGTTCGTGATCCAGCCCATGCAGCCCTGTCGCGTGGGACCGCACCGGTGGTCCGTGGCCGACTCGAAGAGGTGCCCGCAGGCGTAGGTCAGGCGGACCCGCCAGCAGAAGATGACTTTGCGGACACCCATTGCGGGTTTGGTCGGGGGCTTGAATTGATGAGGGGGTTTGCTTAGGAGGTGATTTGGTAGGTCGGGGCCGTTTGGGGGGTCAGATCTGATCTGATTGAGCTAATTGAGGTGAGGTCATGCAGTGTGAATCGAGATCGTCAAAAGATTTATGCAGGTTGTCGAAGCTAGTCGCTATTGACGTGGCAAGATACACCTAACCGAAGGTTTGTTTCGTTGATGCGCGTGGGAGTTATAGATCAACCTTTGAATTTCTATAACAAAAAGTCAGGAGCACCGGAATGGAATGTTCGGGACCAAGGTACATGTTTCTCAGTCTCTCGACAAGCTCTAAGGTTTCTGCTTGGTGAGAACGCTTGTAGTTCAATGTTAGCAATCCGTTCAGGGTTTCAGGACGGCATATGGCTTCGTGCTGGAGGATTCAACTCTCTCATAAAAATTGCCTTTATTTGACGGCTTTGTAGCCGATAGTCTCTTTGTTTTAAGACCCAGCACTTTCCAACTCCTGTTACACCTTTTTCGAGGCTGCAGTCATGTGCTCAAGACATTAGACTTACTTCTCCAAGCAGTATCCGGGTTTGAACAAAGACATGCAGATCTTCACCAAGGACAAAATGTTCAAGACTTCGGGAATACCAAAAGCCAAGCAAAGACGTACTGTCACAACTGTGCAGAAGATGATCACTTGCCCACGATAATAACCGTGATCGCCTAGCGGGTCTTAATGGACGTGTCGATGGAGGTAACACACAAGATGATTTTTAGATGAAATTACTCCGGAAGAGGTTTGATTTTGATTTTCTAAGAAGTCTCTGTGGCCCAAGGCTTCCGCCAACCAACGCGAGAGGCATTGACGGGAGAATTTCTCAAGGAACGGTTTAGCACTGTGCCCAGCCCAGCAGGCCGAGAGGGGTTTGTTTAGTGCGCCCAGCTACGCATGTCCGGGGGAAGGCACTCGTCGTTTCTTGGGAGGGACAGGGGGCAGGCCGAGCCACGCCCTGAGCCCTTAGGTGCTTTGGCTCCCATAAGGGCTTAGCCCTGAGCCCGCGGGCCGCTTGGTGCAGGCGAGACCAGCCCCAGTAAGGGAATCGGGCAAGCCTGATCCACAGAGGGTGGTTGGCCGGCAGCATCTCTACGCGAGCTCTCCACCTTGCTCGCTACTCCGGAGAGATGTTCAGTATAAAAAGCTCTGATAGTCGTGAAATGACAACTCTTTAACCCTTCATTTTAGATCCTTGAGAATATTGACAGGAGAAGATGCCTAGAACGGATGGTCTGAGCGAGTCTGGAGCGCCATTGGGGCATTGACCCGTATTTGATTAAAGCCACTAAAACAGCTGATCAAACACTTGCGGTATGGCAGACAGGGCACCCGGCGATTGGAAATATTTGAGTGCAGCCATGTCCCATGGTTTGAGTAAAAGGGGTGAAAGAGGTGTACCATTGCCACCGTCACAACGTGATGGTGTCCCATGCCGTGCACACACCTACGGTACCGAAGGTGAGCAGGCCGCTGCTGCACGGACCAATGTGCCGGATGCCCAAGCAGAAACCCGCGGCCCCGAGCAGTAGCCATGACACCGTCCTGGTAAGATGTCTCTTTTAGCATGTTCTTGACGGAAGAGGATTATGTTGCATCCTTGTCAGGAAACGCAACTCCATCTCGCTGCTTCCATGTATCGATCACTTTGCTTGTGGAAGAGCTCAACAGCCAATTGATGCCATTATGCCTTATCGCCAGTCAAATGATTGACTGACCGTCGTTTACAACAACTTTTTTTTTTTTTATTTTCCTTGTTAATCAAAATCATATCAGACCTTTGCGGCTGCTCTGATTGGCGGATTCTACATCGACCGGGTGACAACCGAAACATCGAGACATCATCATCATCGTCATCATCTGATTCATCATCCGTCATTTTCGAGGATCACTCTCGGCACGCAACTACACTGGACTATCATGGCATGAGTCTTATTGCCTGCCTGTATCTCGATTTGTGAACCAAGACAACGCCACGATCTAGCCCCGACCCGACCCTACCCCCCTCCCCCCTTCCCCCCTTCTTCCTTTTCCACCGATCCATCATGCCGCGCCCAGCGACAACAGGCTACGAGCGGCTCGCGCAAGCCGACCATAGCGACGAGTCCGACGACGACCCGCTGATGGCCAGCTATGCGTCTTTGCAGCCGGCATCAACCATACGCTACGCGCCGATCGGCCAGCCGCGTCCACACTCGGGCATGACGACCCCGAAGCGCCGATCCTCCATCATCGGCTCTTCTTCAGCAGCCCCCGGGGGTTCCCGATCCCGCCGTCGCGGACGCCGCAACTCGGGAGTCGATTTGAAGGCCATCAATGCCCGGCTCGAGCGTTGGGCCGATGAGATCGCGTCGAAGTTTAAGCGGACGAGGAAGAAGAAAGAGGGGGAGGATGAACGGCTGGAGATACATCACTCAGTGTTTGTGCCGCCCGAGGGGATACGGCCGGTCACAGCCGAGCAGTTGAATAACCCAGAACCGGGGTACATGAGTAAGGAAGAGTTTGAGGAAATTGTTGAGAGCGTGAGGACGGCAATACGGCAGGGCGTGCATCCGCGGATGATTTCTCAGGGAAGTTCGGGCAGTTATTTTGCCAGGAATCCGGAGGGGAAGGTGGTCGGTGTGTTTAAACCGAAGGATGAGGAACCGTATGCGGTTGGGAATCCCAAGTGGACGAAGTGGATTCATCGGAACCTGTTTCCTTGTTTCTTTGGGAGGGCATGGTATGTCGCCTACATTTTACGATTTATAAACGTCGCTAACCTCTCAGCCTCATCCCAAACCTCTCCTACGTCAGCGAAGCCGCCGCGTATGTCCTCGACGTTCAGCTACGAACGCACCTCGTCCCTTATACCGACGTGGTCTACCTCTCGTCCAAGTCCTTCCACTACCCTTTCTGGGACCGCTATAACCACTCCCGCAAGGGCAAGCCGCTACCCGCGAAGCCTGGCAGCTTTCAGGTCTTCCTTAAGGGCTACAAGGACGCCAACCTCTTCCTGCGCGAGCACCCCTGGCCGGACCAATACATAGCAGGCTTCCGCACGACCGACCCGCACCGCAAGCGTCGCAGGCGCTGGGCCGACAGCTGTCGACCCATGGGCGCTGCCCCGCCGGATGATGACGGTGATAGCGATGAGGACGCAGCGCACGAGAGTCCGCGCTCGCAGACCCTCAGCCCAGAGAACTTTGTCTGGACGCCGACGCTGAAGCAGGCGTTTCGCGAAGAGCTGGAAAAGCTGGTCATCCTAGACTACATCATGCGCAACACGGACCGCGGCCTAGACAACTGGATGATCAAAGTCGACTGGGAAACCCAATCCGTCTCGATCCGCTCGGAACCCATCCATCTCAACATGGACGTCTCCGACCGCGACCCCGCAGACGAACAGTCCGATCCCGGGCCCCGCCCTGTCGACCTCTCCAAACGCCCACCCCCCAAGACCCGCGTCTCCTACCCCTACCGCCCGGAACGGCCCATGGATCCCTCCACGCCTCCTCCCTCTGGCCCCCATGAACCCAAAATCACCATCGGTGCTATTGACAATTCCCTCTCCTGGCCCTGGAAACATCCCGACGCATGGCGCAGCTTCCCCTTTGGCTGGCTCTTCCTCCCCGTCGACCTCATCGGTAGACCATTCTCGCAAAAGACGCGCGACCACTTCCTGCCGTTACTCACGTCCACCGCGTGGTGGAGCCAGACGCAGGCCAGGCTGAGGAAGGTGTTCCAGGTGGATCCGGATTTTCAGGAGCGCATGTTTGCCAAGCAGATGGCGGTTATGAAGGGGCAGGCGTGGAACGTGGTTGAGACGCTGAAGACGGCAGATCATGGGCCGTTGGAGCTGACGCGCAGGCCGAAGGTCTGTGTGTGGGATGATTTGGTCGACGTCCCGGTTGCCGTGCCGATGAGGGTGGCGAGCGTAGAGATGAGGAGACGGGCTGAGAGGTTGAACCGTAATCCAGGGGCGGGGTATATTGCTGAGGAGGAGGAGGAGGAGGAAGAGGAGATGGACATCGCTGCTTTACACGGGCAGGACCAGCAGTCGGCGAGTGCGCCGGCTGGGACGCCCACGGGAGATCTGTTGGGGATGGCGAGCCCCTCCGCAGCGTCGATGCCGACTTCTACGTCGGAGTTGCCTCACCCGGGGAGGTTTGAGTTGGCGCTGGCTGATGAGCCCGTCTCTCCGGCGTTAGTGAACGGTTCCGCGGCAGCGTCGTCTTCGACCCCTTACCCAGAGGGACATTCGTCCTTGTCATCCAGGCAGGCAGCGCTCAACATGTATGCCCCGGGCCGCACACCAGGTAACGGCTCTGCCGAGCCTCAACGAATATGGTCCTACACCACCACCGCAGCTGCTCGTCGCGAAAGCAACAGCATTGCCGCGCAGCTCTATCACGGACACTCCCGGCACGGCAGCTCCAGTTCGAGTCGTGGAGCAGCAGCAAGGAGGTGGAGTGAAGACGAAAACTGGGACCGTGGAGTCGGTGGTGGTGGAGATAGGGATGAAGAAGATGAGTTTGAGATAGAGGGTGGGGATTTGGGATACGCGGCGGCGACGGGCATGGAGGCTAATAGGAGGAAGGTGATTGTGGAACGGCTGGAGATGGTGAAGGCGAGGAATCCTGTTTTTACCTGGTGTTGATGTCGATGCTAAAAATCGGCTCTGGATTCGGGCATGGGATGATGAGGAATATAACGGGTATGATCTGGGCTTGGTTGGGTTCCGATGGAGAGCGGGTTCTGAGAATGACCAGATGGCATGTGTTTTGTGCTTTACCGTTCAAGGGGTTGATTAATTGTTTGGTGGGTTGGTTGTTGCTTGGATGATGGGAGAGATGATGTGTAGGGCCGGCATGCAGCCATGCCCTCTTCTCTTGGCCCAGCCTATTCAATGCCCTACCAACACCTCATCTTTCCACTTCGCTACTTGTTTGGGTACAACATTTTATTTTTTTTTCTCGGTTCTTTTCTGTGGTAATATCGGTATTCGCACATCCGAGAGAGCATCATGATACAATAAGGAAGAGGAGAAAGTAGGATGATAGATTAGGCTAGGAACCTAGGGTCTAGACAGGCAGGGTCTTTTGGAGAGAAAGAAAATTACAGATATGGCATGACAAAATGAAGAAGGCTTAGATGATATTAAATGCAACAAAGCTTTACCGGTTCCTGGTTGAGTCTGAGTTCATTCCTTTTAGTATAGCATACTAGATAATACTATCCATATCCAGCCATGCCAAATATTGTCTCCAAACAGCTTGTAAGCAGCAACATGAGCCCAGAGAGGTGACTGAGGGAACAATGGAGTCATTGAAGGTACGGTTACCTACCTAAACAAGGGGGTCGTATTGTATGAGTGTGATAATGGCGGAGTGTTCTAACACTGCAACCTCTAGCTTTTATCATGATGGATAAAAGACGACGATTACCTACCTACCCGCCTAGGTAATCATGGCAGAGATATATCTAGCGTTTTCAACCTCGCTCACTGGTCAAGGAAGCCAAATTTTCAATACGAAAGGAAACAGAATGGGGTTCTTTCTGGCTTAGGGACTCACACCTTGCCCCATGCCAGCTGAAACCATATAATATGTCAACCAACCAACCACGCCACACTCGAGTATCCGTCGAGAATAAATCTGTATATGACAAGGAAGAGTGAATCTCAAATCAGCCTACCCAACTACTTCGTTTTCATTCTCTAACTCGCACTTATTAATAAGCTTACTGGACTCTAGTCCCTATCCTCCATATGCCGGGAACGCAAATGACCCCCTCCCCTCCTTTATGTATGGTCTCTCTTCCTATAAAGTTCACTGATGACTTTTTGATTTCAACTTTTATGGTTCTATTTTTACTTTTAATAATTATTTTTATTTTTATTTTTTTTGCACATCTCACGGTCTTCATGGCTGTTCGAGGTCCTCGAGCCATTTGGATCAAAGAGTTGGGGTTAAGTGTTTCAGCTTGGAAGCTTGTAGAGGCTTCTCTTTTGCATAGTAGCGAAGGAGGAAGCCAGTATGGCATGGTGTTTCCGGAGAGTTTGAATGAGATTATTGGAGTCAGTTGTTTGACGAGTTTGTTCTTCCCTCCAGGGATTTTCTTAAGGGTTGGGTTGTGTCTGACTGGAGCGGAGTCTGGTGCTGGCGCCATTGCGGACGGGTTTATTTACGGCTGTTAACAGAGGTTTTCCGACTCATGTCATCGGAACACTGTACTGAAGGTCGCCATAAGAACTCCAGTGGAAAAAAAGAAAACGAGTACAACCAATTAGTTGGAATGGTTGATTGTTTCTGCGCTGCCTACCTTACTCTCGACCCACAAGAGGAGAGGGAGGATCCTTTCCTAATTCTTTCGCCGAGCACTTACAAGATGCATGGAGCTCACTGAATTGTCATTGTGCATATTGTGCATACGGCTACTTGCCTGCATGATCGCTGCAACCATTGGGAGGGAGGGGTGGAAGGGGGGGGGGGGGGGGAGAGAGACGTAAGAAAAGGATATCATGTATGTTCTACAATGTAGGTATGTCTCCATTTGCTGGCAAGTCAGACTGTCCTACCCATGAGGAAATAGAATAAGTTTATCGCCACAGGTAGCATAAGAAATTCATAAAACATACGTCCCTGTATTATCCACCTCTGAGTCACACTAGAGAGCCAAAATCGACGCTCTAGCCAAAACTCCGTGGATACCGTACCTACTCTCCGGAACCACTTATCCTGGTGGTCGTTGTTTAGGAAACACCAGACAGTTGTATCACTCTTCCTTAACATGTATGCCTACCTGTTTTTGTTCCAAACTTCCCCCTCGGCGGTTCACCCCCTCATTTATTAGTAAGTAGATCGACACTGCAGAGAAGCGATCAACACCACTTCCGCAAAAGCGGTGAGAACCACTTGACCAACCCCTTACCCAGCCCAGCCATTATTCCTCGACCCAGCCTGTTGGTAACAATACGCCACGGTAACAGCTCCTCTTCTGCATGCTCCCAAGCCCCAAACCCACATAATTTCCTCGGAGACAGCCCAGTACATAGCCCACGTGTCAGCCTCGGAGATCGACACCCCCCTCAATGAACGAACCCCTATCCCATCTCGCCGCCGTTGAGTTGGATCATCTAACTTTCGCGTCTCAAGTTCCAATGCCGGAGCCAGAGACATTCTATCCTCGTACCCCATCCAATCATCCCCGATCCCTAGCTCGTACGAGAGAGGCACCGAGTCGATACGATAATGCCAAACACAGGCACAACATCACGGCACTTGCCGACCCTCTTCTTTCCCCCATCAGCCGCATATCAGTACCTACACGACACCGACACCGACCCGGCCAGTCGGCGAGACCAAGGGGAAGATGCAGACGTCGTGTGTCACCTTGATGTCGGGGATCGACGAGGGGATGACGAAGACTGTTTGGACGTCTGTACTCCACTCCACGTCCACATAACCATCCAATCTGCTGGGACGGACTGGCTTGTTGGGGGGAGAGACCCAAGTCCCGCATAGGGAAAAGGAGTTTGAGGGCTTAGGCCCGTCCGAAACCCTCATCTATCCCCTCCGTCCCTGACGGACCAGTGGGAATGTCTTGTGAAGATCTTTCCAAGTCGCTGAAGTGAAATGTGTGAGGCGAAGTCTAAAACAGGAACTCAAGTTGGCAACTGTAATGATTGGAAAGAACACGGGTATCGCTGCCCAGTTACCTTTCCTTCCCCCTTATACGAGCCAGCCACGAGCAGAGGAGACCATGGCGAAGGATGGTAGCACACTTACGTAACCCACATACCTCACCATCAACCACAGCCTCAAGTGCAGGGCAGCCTGGCAACCCGGCATCGTCTCCCAACAAGGTGCCCGACGATGACGACAGCGACCACGATGACGGTGCACATCTTTCGTACGTACAACTTCCTCGGTGTCTCGGTGAGTCCACCCCTAACTAACCCGAATTCTCACCTTCGTCCTCATCTTCCCTTCCGGCGAATTCGACCATCCCGATCATGCCATCACCTGACGAAGAGCTCGAACCCTCCCGTGGGCTTCAAGCAAAGATCTAATCAATCCCAAACCCAGAAGCCCACATCCACACAAACCTTAATCGTGCTCGTTCATCCGGCAAATACAGATACGTACGCAGACACAACACCCGGTCTTTACCGGCCTTACGGCATTACATCATCCTCACAAAAAGAGGGGGAAGGAGGGGTATAAGCCAGCCTGTTGGTGGGCAGACCCTTACACCAGGGTTCGAGGGCCCAGGAGGGTTCCATCCTTCTGGAACCCCGAGCAGACGAACGCCGCACGACGCGAACCACGGGCGGCCACGGCAGGCAGGATAACTGTCTGGCTAAGTTACCTTGTAACAAACGAACAGTGAAAAAGCAGGCCAGATGAGATGACCTGGAGGTCCCTCCCCCGCAAGAGTCCAAAGACCCGAGCGGGAAACTCAGTCCCATACTCGGGGTGCTCCACACGCAGTCGGGTATGCTCATCGCCATGCAACGGAGCTGCTCAAGATCAAATATGGTATGTAAGTGTATGCTCGACGCAGGAGATACAGACGCAAGCAACTCTACCTTGCGCTGCACTGACCGCGCTGCACTTGCGGCAAGCAACGAAGGCAGGCAATCTAAGTAAGCAAGCAACCAGAAGCAAGCAGGCAGAACGGATAGCGGCAGAATACTTATCTCACTCACATGCCAACCTACATAAAACCGAGACAGTGAACAGCGCCGAGATATAGAAACCTCGATGAACGACTACCACGCTGTAACCTGAACCCGCAGCCATGGCCGTGGTCTCGGTCTCCGAAAAGGCAAAAAACAATATAGGTTTATAGGGTACCCCCCCCCCAAGGTCCATGTGTCCGTTGTGAAAGTGTAATCTGCTGGCATGCCTACCGTCATACCGTGCCGATGAGCGGAGGAGCGCCATGTAACCCACCGTACCCTACCCTAGAGGCTAGGCAAGGTAACCAGCAAAGGTAGTAGGGAGGTAGGCAGGGAAGTCAGATCCTCCGCAGGGGCTCTCAAAGGTGAGGATCAGAGAACCATCGTATCGTGTAGGGAGGGATTGAGCGAGGATCAGGAAGAGAGAAAGAGAGCCCACTTGCTACATAGTAGCTCACCTCACCTTACCTCATCTCTCACTTGACTTCACCTCGCCCACTCACTCGGGCATCGAGGAGCCTCTCTTGATGGGCTTGAGCTGCTCCATCGACACTTCGAGCTGTCACTTGCCCACTCAAAGCCAAGGAGTAAACAAACTAACGAACGAAGATCAATACGGAGCTCTGCTCGTAGGATCTTTCATCTCCAAGGAGACCAGCAAAATCAGGGGTCAGCGTAATGAGTGATGATGAGAAAAAAAGAAGGAAAGCAAGGTTCAACAACTGAGACCACAGTGCCCCCCTCCTCGCTTATGCAAACTCCTCGACATTCTGTCCATCCGTCGTTCAGCCAGCATAGCCATTCCCCGTCCCGCTGGGTCTCTCTCCAACCTAAACGTACCCGACTGGCCAGACAAAATTTCTCAGCCAGCCCAATGCCCAACCCGATGAGATAGCATGACCGTTTTACGTACCTAGGTCGCTCCAACGACGACGGAGCCATGGCATCCATCCATCATCCTCCTAACTTACCCC